CTTGAGATACTGACAGTACCCCTTCAAATTTTTTAGGGCTAAAAATCACAGCATACCCTTTTATTATGTCAATTTAGTCAAATTAACCCTTCTACAATATATTTTTCCAAACCAACCCCTATACTTTTGATTTTGGGATAAAAATTCACTTCCTCCACCAGTGCTGTTAGTTTGACCAAAATCCATCAGTTGACTAAATCTGATGATCCTAATCATGTCATGTGTCGCACACAGTCCAAGATTGAATTGTATTTCTTGAAGGACGAAAATGAAAAGGTAAATATTTTGAAGGGGACTTTTACAACTCTTTAAAAAAGGAGCCCTTCATAGAAACACAAAGATCCTCAGATTAATCAATTGTTGATCGAAACCCTAATTAATAAATTCTAAAATCCCCAAATCAAACACTTATTGAAACTCACCTTCGCTAAAAATAACAGAAATTTGCACCCATTGATTCTCCATCTCTCTCAACTTGAGAGGATCGGGTACATGAAAACACATCACTACCCTTTTCAACTTCTTCAAAATTGGTCTCGCATGCTCATAGAATCTGTAGTTTGCAACAAACTGTGGAAGTTCTGCGGTGTAGTTTTCCTGTTGTTGGTCCGCGTCGGGAGTTGGATTTGAGCTAAGAATCGTGATGTTGTCTAGCTTGATTTGAAGTTTACTTACTTGAATGCTCTTCGGTGTTAGTGTTTGGTTATTGTTTTAAAATTAAAAAAAAAATATAAAGTTGAAAGAAAATAAAACAGAGATAATAAAATAAATGAGACATGTCTCATTGTTTTGAAATGATCAAAATTCATTCTAAAATCATTTTGGAATATCTTTATTTTATTTTTTTAATCAACCATATTTTTCATCTTTTTTATATCTCTTATTTATCGTGAAACACTATATAAATACAAAGTTAAAATATGTCCCGTGAAACAAAGATTAATTCATGTTTTGTTTAACTAAAACCATTTTCCTCTAAAATCCAACATAAGTAACTCTAATTATATAAAAATCTTGCACTTAAGCAGTTATGGTTAGATTAAATGTTGAATATCAGATCATATGAAGGAACAAAAAAAACTTTACATTGTGTCAAAAGTGAAATCATGAAGTCCAAACCTGCAAAATTAATCTCCAGACTGTTCAAGAAATCTGCCGACTCTTATTTAAAACTAATTTATAAAACCTACCCAATATTCCTTTTCTGATCAGAAAACAATCTAAATCTTCATAATCCCACTTCTAGTTTTAACTTTAATCCCTTCTCTCAAATTCAGCAGTACCATTGAATTCATTGATTTCAGAAAAGAGCGACTGTTGAGGAAAACTTGTCATTGGAAATTGCTTGTATGGCTGCATCGGCTGCATGGTTGAGGCAACGGATCTCACTGAAGAATCGGCCTTATTAAACCACGTCCAAGGTGCAGGGTTGACATAAAGAGGTCCATTGCATGAGAGGTGTTGATTGTTACTGCTACTAGCCTGGCAACCAAATGAGTTGTTATGGCTCTGATAGCTCATTATCTTCATCATCGCATCCTCAGTTGTTTTTGTTTGTGATGGATTCCTATAAGCACTCTGCTTAGATTCATAATGAACCGGCGGCAAAACATTCAATGGCTTTGGTTCGGAGTAAAGAGTTGAATAGCCATTGTTATAGGTCCTCTGATTCAATGAATTTGCATCAAGTTTAGCCATCGGAGAACTCATCTCAGGCTGGA